TTTTGGAGACCATTATGGTCCAAGTGAAGCATATACGTAGACATGGTAACATACTTTCTAGATTTGGCTTTTGTGTGGTAAATTTAACCCAATACCTTAAATGAAAAAGTGTGAAATGCTGAGGTTCAAAGTAATATATATAATTTTATATCTTACCCTTTGTGACTTCACATCTTTCCTTGTGCCAGCTAGAGTGCTATATATCTTACGAACAAGCTCCATGTTATTCAGTAAGGAGTTAAATGCATTGAAGTAGGAGAAGCTAACCTGGTGGAAAGATACTTCCTCCAGCTGCCTAGGAAATGACAACAAAAAAGGTAAAAACAAAAACAAAAACAAAACCACAAAAGACACACTTATGAACACTTTTTTCAAAGAGTCAAAGTCTTCATTATTAAAATATTAACAACCTGCCCTAAACACAAGGAAAGCATCGTACTGAAACACTCAGAGCATGATAATGCCCTCAAGTCTATGTAATTTAGATTTTAAGGAAGAAAGCAACATCTGGAAGTTGGACTTTATGGTTCATCTACATATAAGGTCAGAAACAACAAACGTAATTATCACAGATCAAAAACAATGGTTTTTAAACAGGATTTTCAAGACCCTCAACTACAGAACTCCCACTAGTTCTGGTATAAACCAAACATTAACGAAAGTATAAGAATCATTTTTAAAACTTGTTTTTTTTTCCCATTACATACATAGAAAAGCCAGTGGGAAAATTAATTTTAAAACTATTACACACTGTCAGCTTTCCTAATGCTTCTTTTTTTTTTTTCCCCAACCTACTTTTTTAAGGCCATTGTTTTATATCAAGAACATTTGATAGTCCATGTTGGGCTCAATCTATATCATGAAAGTTACAATTACCTAAACTAAAAAACTGAAGATTAAATCTAGGAAGATTTATTCACCATAAAGTAAAAGTATGGAACAGTACATAAGGGGTCTCTTGTGCCTGAGGAGAGATGGGGAGCAATGTGGCCTTTATTCCATTTGGAAATACATTCATAGAAAATTTTTAATAGTTTACAAAAAACTAACTTCCAGGAGTCACAGGAACCCATATGATTAAAAACATTCTCTATAAAAATTCAAACAGATGCTTATGGAATACCAGTGTGACAACCTTAATCATAAAAGTCTATTAAAAATAGTATAGATGATAATGGGCAAATGAACCCACTCCAAACCCCTCAAATATGTGATTTAACTCAAGAGTAGGTGACATTTGCATTACCCTGAATTTGGATACCAGTGATCCGAAAGCAAGATTCAAATTATTTAATACATTCGTCCAAGAATTGAAATGGCATTTGATAAATTGAGGCTATAATAGGTCTACCTAACCCACTTGGAAGATTAAGTGGATCCCCCTCACTCTAAGGTAGTATGAGAATCTTTCCCTCTAGGATTTGTCTTTTCTTCTTCCCTCTCTCCCTCCTCTCTCCCTTTCCTTTTCTCTTTTATACTTTTGGCCTAAATATAAGGTGAGGGTAGAGGAGTGGGAGATGGGTGACAAGGAGGTGAAATGTATAGGAGAAAGTGACATGCTCCATGTTCAAATTCACCAAAGAAAAAGAACAGAAGTTGATCTTTCTACCCCAGTCTAAATCAGGGATAATGATCTTCAGCTGAAACAACAAAAGCACTCATTGGCTTCCCTCCATTTAAAACAAGCAGCAATCAAAAACTTATACATAAGTACAGCGCATAAACAAGAAAACTGGTAAGTGAGGCAAGTTTCACCACTCTTTGTGAGGAGTGATGACATCAGTTTGCTATTGGTCCAGATGATTACTTTACAGAGATTAGCAGTTTGACAGAACACAAAACTGTGTCTGGTCCATGCAGACTGAATGCACAAATGAAGGACAGAGAGAGGAGTGAGCCACCAAGACTGATGCCCACATATTACCTCCCTACCTTCTGCCATGGCCATGGTTATTAAAACACTGCAGAGGCCTGTGACGAACCCTCTAGCAAATAGCACCCTGCAGGGAACAAAGGAAGGAGCCATCCTTAACAAGGCTTTGGGAGCCTGATTGGGCAGAAAGAGGTCAAGGTGAAAGCAGGACTGTCTGGGAGAGGCAATGCCCCACCTTGCCTAAAAACTTCCTTGTTTCCTTTAATTGGACTCTAAAAATGGAAATAAACAACTTGGAAATAATTGAGAACAAGATAGTGGCTCATACAAAAGCTATGATCTGGGCAAGAACTGTTTACCATCACCCCCACCTCTCTTACACCTATTTACCTTCTACCAACAAAGCATAAAGTTAGAATAGTTGAGAGTCTGACGGGTCCAGGGAAGCAATCCAGAACCCAAGAGTACAAAAAATTTAAGGAAATACTCAAAGTTGAATACTTGCTTTTTACTTACTGAAACTAAGTTCTCCTCCACAAAAGGAGTAAGCATGTGAGACCGAATGGTAACCATTATGTCACTGAAATCCAGACCAGAAATCATGCCACTTTTGCTTTTGTCTTTCAGTGCAAAGGCTTGTCTTGCATGTTCTAATTGTAGCTCCTAGAGGAAAAAGTTAGAAATAGGATTTTAGATAGGTTAAAGCACAAACCCAAGTGCATTTTGTAGAAATGGAAGACATCATTCCCCTACATGCACTTACTACAGAAATGAACAGTGTTCTGCTCTGAATTTACAACAAAACTTTTCTTTTTAAAAAGCATGTGTTGAGGGCCTCCCTGGTGGCACAAGGCGTTAAGCACTGCACTATGAAGCAATCCGCAGCCTCTGCAGCACGAGTTAGATCCCTGGCCGGCCAGGGAGCTACCCACATGGCGCAGCAGACCTCTCCTGTCTCGCCCCCTGCTCCTCTCAGCAGTGTATTTCAGTCAGTCTGCCTGTTCTGTTCCCCACTGTCTCTGGTAAGTCCTCTCACCCGCTGCACCTCTGGTCTGTACCTCAGCTCTTATATGCATAAGTAAATAAATCTTTAAAAATAAATAAATAAATAAAAAGCATGTGTTGGCCTCCCCAGTGGCGCAGCAGGTTGAGTGCAGCGCTGTGGAACTGTCCCCAGCCTCTGCAGCACGGGTTCGATTCCGGCTGGCCAGGCAAATACCCACATGGCACAACAGACCTCTCCTGTCTCACCCGCTGCTCCCCTCAGCAGGGCATTCAGTCCACCTGTGTTCTGCTCCCACTCTGTCTCTGGTGAATCCTCTCACCCTCCCACACCTCTGGCCTGTACCCAACTATTGTATAAATAAAACAAAATCTTAAAAAAAATTAAAAACATTTATTTTCAACTTTTTAATTTTGAAAGTCTGCCCCCTACCCTCTCCAACAGAGAACACCTTTAAACAATTTTTTTAAATGAACCCAGTAAGAAACTCTACTGACTGGTAAGTGAAATATTTAGCAATTCTAACATCAAAATGATAAATAGCTAATGAATAACTAGTATTCGACTATTGCTCTGATTTGGGGTACGGTTACTCATAAGCTGTAAAACATTCAGAATATCTGAACTTCAGAACTACTAGGTATCCAAAATTTGTAACAAGAAACATCAATAAAAATAACAAAGTAGACCTCCGTGGTGGCACAGGGGTTGAAGTCTCAGATATCAACCTAGCTCCAGTCTCTGGAACATGAGTTTGATCCCTGGCCAAGCAGAAACCCACATGGTGCAGGAGACCTTTCCTGTCTCGCCCGCTGCTTCCCTCAGAACATCTGCCTGTTCTGCTGCCCAGTGTCTCTGGTGAATCCTCTCATGCCCTGGCACCTCTGGCTTACACCCCAATTCTTGTATGCATAAATAAATAAAAATAAATCTTTTTTAAAAAGTGTCATTAATACCATAAGTACTGTGCAAAAGTCAAAATTAGGGAATTTCTGCCCTGGAAACCCAAGACATAATCCAAACTAACATGTTACAACATAATTATGGCACCATTGGATGCAATTTTCACACAATTTGCAACCTTGGAAATAATATTCATATCTAATAGTGTATTATAAATACTATTGATTTGTATTGCAATTTTCACTCATATTTATCAAAACCTACAATTCAAAGTTGCTTTGCCTTTTTCTGATATTTAAAAGTTTTTAATAGAAGCCTTACATTTTATTAATTTATTTATATTTTCCTATGAATTTTGTGCCATCTCAATGGTAATTCAAACTATTTAGTAGGTGTTTGTTTCTATTTAAACTATAATTTGTTTTATATGACTTTTCTGTATATGTGTGATAGTAAACAATAATACACATTTTGAAAAGTTGTTTTCTTTTTCTTAGCAGGTTGATAGGTTAGAAACAATTATACTAAATCTTTCAGTAGTCTTAATGGAAGAAATCAGCTAAACAGTTTAACATCTATCATCCAACATCTAAACATTTGGATCTTCTTGCAAAAAGAGCAATGGAAATAGAAACACTATACTCAAGTTGAAAATATGTGTGACATAAGAGTACAAAAATAAACAAGCAGCATGATTTGACAAAGCTTTCTCTTCCCCTTCTACTTTTTTTTTTTAATTTCAGCTTTATTAGGTTATAATTGAAAAGTCAAATTGTAATATATTAAAAGTATACATGACTTTATAGGCACACTGTGAAATGATTCCCACCATCAAGTAAATTAACACATTATCACCTCACATATTTAATATTTAATCTTTTTTTAAGAGAACACTTAAAGTTTTATTATCAGGAAATATCAATTATACACAAAAATATTATCAACATAGTCAACATTAGATATTTACACTTTATTTATCTTACAACTGAAAGTTTGGACCCTTCTTCCAGACTGTCACAATAACCACCCTCACCCACCAACCACACACACACAAACACACACACATACACCATACACTCACACAGCCCTAGCAACCACTGTTTTGTTTCAATGTGGTCAACTTTTTGTTGTTAGATTATACATACAAGGTCATCTATATTATTGTAGATGGCAGAATTTCCTTCCTTTTTTGGAATGACTATTTCATTATATATGCACAATAAGTATTATATATATTATATGTAATATATATAAATAAATATATATATATATTTATATATAATGACATTTTCTTTGTCCATTCATTTGCTGGAGGACAATTAGTTGGTTTCTATACCACAGCTATTGTGATAATGCTGTAATATACATGGGTATACAAATTTATCTTTAAGATAGTGACTTTGTTTCTTCTGGACACATACCCAGAAGTAAGATTACTGGATCACATGGTAGCTCTATTTTAATTTCTTGAGGAACCTCCATGTCATTCACCATGCTGATTGTCCAATTTACATTCCCACCAAGAGGGTACAAGAGTTTCCTTTTCTCTACAATCTTGCCAGCATATATGGTCTTTCTCATAATAGAACAAGTGTGAGATGCTCTGTCACTTTTGATTTGCTATCCACTGATGACTGGTGATGGTAAGCACCTTTTCACGTACCTGCTGGTCAACTGTATATCTTTTTTGGAAAAATGTCTATACAAAGTCCCTTGTCTATTTTTCAATTGGGTTATTTCCTTTTGTTATTAACTTGTATAAATTCTTTGTATATTTTGGATAATAACCCTTATCTGATATAAGATTTGTAAATATTTTCTTCCATTCCATTACCTTTTCATTTTGTTAATGGTTTCCTTTGCTGTATAGAAGTATTTTTTTAGTTGCGTGTACTTCAACTCATACATTTTTGGTTTGGTTACCTTTGCCTTGGTTATCAAATCCAAAAAATCATTGCCAAGACCAATGTCAAGGAGTTCACCTGCAGTTTTCTTTTAGGGTTTTAACATTTCAAGTCTTACATCAAGTTTTAATCGACATTGAGTTGGTTTTTTTGTATATGGTATAAAAGAAGAGTCCAGTTTCATTCTTTGAATGTGGATATCTAACTTCCCCAATTTATTGAGATTACTATTGTCCCCATTATTTATTCTTATATTTTATGTTGAAAATTGACCACACATGTATGTGTGAATTTATTTCTGGACTCTCTTTTGTTCAATTGACCTGTGTGTCTCTTTTTATGACAATACAACACTGTCTTGAATACTACCACTTTGTAATATAGTTTGAAATCAGGAAGTCCAAGACTGCTTTAGCTATTCAAGGTCTTTTGTAGTTCTAATATTTTTAGGATTTTAGAATTTTCCTTTTAATCTTTGTGGAAAATGTCACTTGAATTATGCTAGGAATTACAATGAAGATGTAGATTGCTTTGGAGAGTGTGAACATTTTAACAGTATTAATTCTTCCAATCTATAAACGTGGAATATCTTCTCAATTACCTGTGTCTTCTTCAATTTCTTTTATTAATGTTCTGTGGCTTTTACTTAACAGACCTTTCACCATCTTGGTTATATTTATCCCTAAGTATTTTTTTAATGTTATTGTAAATGGGATTTTTTTCCCTAATTTCTCTTCCTAACAGTTGTTTGTTAATTTAAGAAATGCAACAGATTTTCATATATTATTTTCTAGCCTCCAAATTTACAGAATTTATTAGTTCTAATAGTTTATTTTTGTGGAGTCTTTAGGCTTCCTTATATATAATACATTATCTGCAAGCAGGTACAATTTTACTTGTTCATTCCAATATAGATGTTGCCTTTTTGCTCTGGCTAGGGCTTCTAGTACTTTCTAACAAAGAGGCAAAAGCAGGTGGTGATCTTTGTTACTGATCTTAGAGGGAAAGCTTAGTTTTTCATTGTTGAATATATTAGGTGTAGATTTGTTGTGTATGGCCACTATGTTGAACTATGTTTCATCTATACATAATTTGTTAAGAATTTTTATCACGAATTTTTCAAATGTTTTTCTGCATTTATATCCATTGAGAGGATGAAGATTTTTATACTTCATTTTGTTAACGTGGTATGTCATATTTCATTATTTGCATATATTGAACCATCTTTGCATGCCAGGAATAAATCCCACTTGATCACGGTATCTGATCCTTTTATTGTATTATTGAATTTGGCTTGCTAATATTTTGTTGAGTATTTTTGCATCTATGTTCATCAGGAATATTGGCCATAAACAAACCCTAGAAATCTATATAACCCAGCAATTCCAATAATTCCATTTACATGAAATATCCAGAAAATGTAAATCCATAGAGACAAAAGCAGATTGGCAGTTGTCAGGGGCTGGGGAGAGGCAGAAATAGGAGTGACTGTTCAGTGGGCATAGGGTTTTCTTTTGAGATAGTGAAATGGTTTTAGAATTATATAGAGGTGGTGGTTGCACAACACTGAATGAACTAAAAATTGTACATTTTTAAGTGGTTAATTCTGTGTTATGTGGATTTTACTTTAATTTTTTTAAAAAGAGAGCTAGAGAATTCCAAGAAAATGAAATTAATATAATATTCATGGTGTTTTAAACATTAAGACAAGATTTTTATAACTGAGGCAGTTTAAGAATAAATCACAGCTTAATATATAGAAAACTAAACAAATAGAAATCTAGAAACTCTAATCATTTTAGTCACACATGACATTTATAAAATTATAGTCATTCACATATGATTACTGATAAAACTGAATCATGACATAACTATGGAGAAGGGGAGACAGATAATGTCCTAGTCTGTGGTAGAAAAGGGAAGTGAAAGAGCCAGTACTAATCCTCAATTCAGTTCAAATTCAATCAAAAATATCTAAGGATTAAAATGTAAAAGTAGGGCCTCCCCGGTGGTGCAGCAGTTGAGCTCTGGGTTGCGAAGCTGCCCGCAGCCTCTGCAGCGGCGGTTCAATCCCCGGCTGCTCCCCGGCCACAGGAGGAGGGTCCCACATGGCGCGCAGACCTCTCCTGCCGCCCGCTGCTCCCCTCAGCAGTGTACTTCGGTCCTTCTGCCTGCTCTGCTCCCCACTCTGGCTCTGGTGAATTCTCTCACCCTCCCGCACTTCTGACTGTACCCAGTGCTTGTATAAATAAATAATAAATCTTTAAAAAAAAAAAAAAAAAAAAAAGCATGTATGTTAAAAAAAAAAAAATAAAAAAAATAAAATGTAAAAGTATGAGCAAAAGTTTATTACGTAAAGCTATGGATATAAACACTGAAAGAAACAATTGAGAGTTTAAAGAAGTTGTCTCTGGGAGCAGAAAATGAAAAATGAGGTGAAATACCACAGGGATTCCTTTATTTTTGTATTAAACAATACATACAACTGGAAGAGAAGGAGGTGGAAGAGGATGAATTGTACTTACAATAGTTATAAAATGTAAGCTCACCTGGAGAAACTGTGTGAATTCTGTGTAGTTAAGATGCTTCTTCCGATTGTGCCCAAAATGTAAGCGGATAAATTCACAGTCCCAGTTAAAAGGGATATGATGATGAATAATAGTCTGTCCAAAAATTTCTTTGACATTTTCTTAAAAGGGAAAACAAAAATAAATAAATTATATCTGGAATAAGTAGTTTAGTCCACTGCAATGTTCCTACAGAAAGAAATTAAGAGAAATTTTAAAAGTCAAGATTATCTGCTTCTATTAACTGCAAATTTTTTGGTGCCCAGAAACCCATGCACAGGAACACAATTGATAAAATATAATTTTACACTTAAGATTGTGTACCATTACATATAAGGCCATGAGATTCTTAATTTTTCTTGATTTAATTTTAATTAGGAAGTGATTAATATTTTGCACTATAAATGGCTGCTACTTTGCATTTCAGTATAAAATCAATAGTGTTTTCCCGGTTCCTCAAGGAGTCGAATTAAGCCCTTTATCAGAAGCATGAATACCTAAATTACAGTATAATGCAATATTTGTCATACTAAGTATGGTTTGATTGAGACTTGATTATTACATTCACACTAGCCTGAATATGTCTATTGAAGATAGGTATAAGAAATACTACCAAAAGCATATCATTAGCTCAGCAGCAAGCACCTTATTAAAAGCTTCTGATATTGTCAAAAATATGGTCTTGACACAAAGCTTCAAAATTCCCATAAAAACATGATTATTAGTCTCAACTATTAAAATATTTTAAGATAAGTGAAATTAGTGATTCACTTTTAAATAAAGGACTAAACACAGCATACTAACTTTTAGATAGGAACTAGTCACACAGTAAAATAATACAACCAAAACCCTCTGACAGCTTGTCTTCATGCACTAACAATGTCATTCACTTTCTTACACAGTTCTACACTTACTATAAAAGTCAAGTCACAAATGACTGGTACTTTAACAAGCATAGACTGGATAGACTAATTTAGAAGCTCATGCCAAAAAAAAAAAAAAATCATTAACAAAGTTAAGAAAGCAGGAAGCCTATTTTACTGATATCTTAAGAACAAAATTATTTTCAAATTTAAGCCAATTGTATTAGTAAAAGGGTTTACCATCATTAGCTACCAATTATACTAGAGAGTTAGTAAATTAAAATTTAATGTTTCATAATCTCCTGCAACTAATTCTAATTTCTGCAAATTCTTTGAATAAGATACAAATCTCACAATGTAAATGGCTTAATGGATTCCCTCTAGTTTTATATACCTTTTTTACTTGCTAAAAGCATTGTTGGGGTGGAGAGAGGGGGGCAATGTTAGAATCCTGAACTGGCAATCCTACCAGTCTGGACTCAATACAATATCTAAATAGGTCACAGCAATCAGGTAAGTAGAAGAAGGCATTGGATGTCACTGGGGAGATGGGATTCTCACTTTACTTTCAAATGGAATGTAGCATTTATTTCTTGCCTAAAGTAGCAATAGTGTTTCCAGGTTTTAAAATCATGTCAAATTATTATCACCTACCATAAACACAAAATAAATATATGGGGTTTTGTTTCTACTAACAAAGAATTGACTCAATAGCAATTCATGTGACCCTGATCAATACAAAAAGACACTTAAATAAGCAAGTTGTGAAATATGTTAAAGTTTACAAGATAATTGAAATTATAAGGGTTGCAAAAAGTCTTTCAAACTAAAAATGTTAAGGCAGCTCAGCAAAGATTTTTTTAGGATCCTTCTAATATAATCAATTAGCTGTTTCTATTCCCAAATTAATTAAATTGATTTCTTATTTTTAACATCTAGCAAATAAAGTGTTAAATAAAGGAAACATGAAGACATTATGGAAAGTAGAATAGGGTACCTTAACTTACTATAAATCCAGTTAAAATTAATTATTAAAGGGAAAAATTTAATTCAAGGATAACCTTTTTTTTAATGTTCACAACTCTCTCTTATTTGATGAGATGTATATATATATATATATAGCTTGCTAGAGAAGTTTTATATAATGGTGAATCAAAAATTCCCTTTATATGATCAGAAAACAGCAGAATCTTAAGGGTCAAACTATATCAAATAAATCAAAGATCCAAAGGCTTTCAAACAATGAAAATTTAATTTATGAAAGTTGTTTTCTGTCACAAAAAAATAATTATAAACTAAAATTATAGTATATAATTTATATTCATAAAATAGCTCTAATAAAAATTTTAGCTAAAATCCTATATTTTGTAAACTCCCTAGCAACCTTCAAATAAGATCACAGAATATCTCTGAAACACTTAAAATGATGGCCAAATTACTCATAGTATCCTACACAAATATTAATTGTCTTTTCCCATGAGTATTTATTTGTACATTGTCTATTCTTCCATTGTGGTCATTTGGCCATTTTTTAATATGGTGTATTATGACATTATCATGTGCTGTGGTTTATTAACTGCCCCGACACCTTTAATTATTTTAACCATGTCACAGGCTACAACTTGAGTTACTAGGACTAACAAAATTTCAAACCTACTTTGGCACCTCTTGATATAATTCCACTTCCCTTCTGTTATTACTTCCACTATCAACTGCCGAAGGCAAATTCAGGAAGCTAACAGAAATAATTAGTACAACTATTGTTTTGAAATTCAATTCATAATTACCACTTTGCTTTTACCAGGATGTGCTTATGAAGGAAAAAAAAATGAACAAAAGCTCCAGAACTGGAGAGTTTATACTTGTGTGAGACAATAGCTCACATAACTGATGTACTCTTTGTCTTATCTGACTTTATCAGTTTTGCATCACAGAAAAGGGAAGACCAACAATCTCAAATATACCCAATCCATCTAACAAACTGCATAGTAAATTTTCCCTTTTTCCCCTCAGAGAGAATCCCGTCTTTCCAGTGGCAAACAAGGGTGCTTAGTTGTTCACAGCACTCCGTAGAGTGTTATTTCAGTGGCCATAATTTGGGCCTGGATGATAGGGATATGACAGTCACATTATTGGCAGCATATGATCTAGTGTTTTATCCTAGGTTGGCATTGCTAAAGGAAATAGGAATCCATTTGTTTTCTGACATATAGAAAACAATACACAACTTTTTTACTTCCTGCAGAGCATGGGCTTAGGAAAGAAATGGTTTATAATTCCTTTGAAAAGGGAATTGGGGTCAGATACAAAAGTAGCCTGTCATTATCTTCTCTTTGCTCAAGGGAGAGGAGCACATAGATTTGTCAGGAGGGTAGGTAATAGCGATAACTGTGATTAAAATGTTCAGATTATAACCTTAGTCAGTTAAGCTGTATCAGTCACTTATGATGATTGGACTAGACGAAATACACACTGAAGCATGTACATTACATAAATTTGTCTTAACAGAGGTTTTAATTTCCCAGTGGCCCACAGTGTGTCTCCCCATCTCATCCACCCTCATCCCTCCCCTAGTCCTTATGGGAGCTTCCTACTGGTCTTGTTCACCTTTCTGCAGTACAAAATTACCTCTGACCGGGGCTGGCACTCTTCTCCAAGACTGCCGCCATGCCTGTTCCATGAATGAGCCTGGAAGGAGCTGCTGTACCAACGGTGTGGCCAGAGAACTCCTCCTGTAGGTATACAAGCCATCAGCCCTGTGACACAGCCCACCTACCATCAGCCCAACGACATCCTGATTCCAAGGATTCCAGCCCAGCAGGAGCCACTGCTTCCAACTTACAGGCTTGAGACCAAACATTTTTATTGTCAGGGGGAAAAAAATCCTTAATAGCTGAGATTCACCAGCACTGTTCTTTAAAGTAAAGTCAGAGAAGCTTTAGAAGGACTCCCATCATGAACAATAAATATCCTTGTGTATAACTGAACAAAAACAATGGCGAGACTTAAGGAAGTAAAGAGTTTTTCAGTGGAGGAAAACTTGGGGGTAAAGAGAGGAACAACTAAGAGACCAAAAAAAGAAAACAAAGGAAAACAAACAACAACAACAAAAAGATCAACAACAGGAACTTGCAGAGGAAGTCCCAACCAACATAGCATGTAGACTCAGTTCCAGACTTCTAGGTTCTACCTCCAGGTAGGTCTTTAGTTCCTGAATGACCTCCTCTGTTTTTCATAAGTATTTCTAATAAGCCTTTACCTACCTCCAGAAGGGACTACTGTACAGTCAGTCAATAGGTAGTCCTGCTGCCAAATAAATACAAAGATCCATTTCTCAGGAAAGATGAGTTTACATTTAAAGATAATCTGTGACTACATTAGCTATATGCTTCAAAAGCCCATCACCAAATGGCATAAAAACTAGTAACGCCATATTCATTTATTTTTTTTTAACCTCAAACACTAAGCTACTCAAGTAGCCATATTAATATAAACTTCTCTGCAATATCTGAAAATTCTTCCTGATTTAATTTTTACCCAGGTGAAGCGCTAACCAGATTAAACTAAGTATTTTTTAGCATTAGAATTTCATATTATACCATGTCCATAGCTTCATTTCCACTGAAGAAGGTGTAACATTTTTCACATTTAGATCAATCTAATGTGCCTAAAACACCCAACAGTCTTCCCTTTAGGGAAAAAAATCTACCTTACAGGCACAAAAGGAACACATTTTTTATTGGCAGTACACTCTGATGATCACACAGTACAAAATCAAAAGCAATTCCTAATTTTTGAGGGTTCTACAGTCAGGGGGTAAAGGTGTACCCTTAAAAAAGTTACTTTTAGAGAGTTCCGATTCCTACGCATACACTTTGGGACACAACATTGATAAAATTTCAATGGAAAACTTACAATGTATTTAACACTTTATATTCATTTATTAGTTAGTAGACTTTGATGGAACTTTTTTAGAATGATTACATCTCTGTTAAAGCAACAAGCTTTTTTTTTTTAATTTGGAGCAAACGCATGGCAGCTATTGACAACACAATGTAGAATATAGCTGTACTTTACAATCTCAACTAATTTTACTGAGCAGAATATCCAGTACACTAATGAGTAGTATTGAAACCAAAGCAAGTTTATACTGTATCTAACATACACCACTCATGCAAGGGCCTCTACAAGGCTCATGCCACCAAGTAGTAACAGATATACAGCCATTAAATAATTATCCACAGCATGCATTAGAAGTTTTATTACGGGACTACTAAAGAGGAAACAATTATCCAAAGGCTTTATTCACTCTTTTAAAAACTCCAAAACTCTCTCCTGAGCTTGTACATTCTGAAATGAATTACCAAGTTCTCAATGTAAGTCCTCTCCCCTAGAGTAGAGACACTTCTAACAATAAAAAAAAATAAAACTTATCCAGCACTCAAGTACAAGTAAATGTTACTGCTATTTATATAAACACTTGCAAAGATGCAGACAATTTAAGTATATAATTTCATGTGTATAAAAAGGATACCTTTTATAAAAAAAGCACAGATGAGAACAATATATACAAGTACACAGAAAACATTATCAATATAGTCCATGAGGGACTATACCAAAGAGGGACACCGATGGCATAATAATCTCTCCCCACTCCAGTACACCTTGCATCCAACATTCTCTCCTACTTTTCTCTTCTGATGTATACAAGAGAAAACTATACTTAAATAAGCTTCAAACTAGAAAACATAAGACCATTTGGTAAAAAGGATTTAGAGTTAGAACGGAACTAAAATTTCCTCTTACCTAAACGTGTATGCACATACACAAGTACAATTCATTATTTGTAAGTGGGTACAAACATGAAAACTGACCTTTATCACTGATCCAAAATCTTATAAAAATAAACTCCAAGTTAATTATTTCCTTATGCTGAAATTCTATAGTCTTGAATACAAGGTAAAATTTCTAAGAAGATCTTAGAAATCTTGGTAAGTAGCATTTGTTACATTTCAATGATTTTCCTATTTTCTTGAGAATGTAAAATTAAACATCCAATCCTTCATTATGATTTTCATTCTGGTTAATAAAATTTGTCTAAAAATGGAATCTCAAAACTGGGAAGATAAGGTAGGAAGGAGAATAGGTCAAGGTTCCCAGGAATCAGGTAAGCAACATCAAGAGAACCATCCATCTGGCCTGGACTCCAGGAACAATGTCAAAAGGGGGTAGAGCTTTATCTCATAAGAATCTTCCTATCTCTAGATTATGAGGAAGAGTGAAAGCAGGATTCTGCATGGTTTATATGTTCTTTAGTTCATTCTGGATGCTATAAAAGCTAAATCTGATTTCTATGCTTTTTAAATCCCAATTATATTTTCTTGAAATCCTAACTCATAAATGACATTCTGAGGGAAAATCTACAAAATGATGAAGCTGGGATCAAATAACTACTAGCTCACATCTGCATGAAATAATAAGGTATACATAAACCACTCAGCTTCTTCCTACATCAGTTTAAACTACTCATCAACAATGGCATGAGTCTCTAATGTTAGTCTGTTGGATGAACTGACTTGAGTGATTTATTTTTTAAAAAACAGGGAAAAATCAATCAAATGGAGTGGACACAAGAATAATGATGCCAAGATAGGGGGGGACAAAATAAATTACCATTTGTTTTTGGGAAATCCAATTCTGAAACAATGAGCACGTGACAGAAGCACCAGGATACTGTCTCTAACCCAGATACTTGTATCAAGTTATTTTCCACTCATTTCTACATATTTGGAAATAAAACATGTAAGCATGTGTGATATCTATGGGAAAAAATGCAGCATTACTAATTGTACAGATTCAATGCTGAATGATGAGATGATAAAGGTTCTATGCTTTAAATTATAGAATCTAGGTGCTTCTGAGGGAAGTCAACATTCTTTAGGAGACAGAGTAGCCAGAGCTTGCTCCAAAGCAGGAAGAATGCCAAGATAAGCAAAGAAACCTAAAGGACTCCGCATAGGTATTTATTTGGGAAAATCTTCTCATACAGAAGACAGCTGGGTCAGTGGCAGAAGGAAGGTAATGATCAATACCAAGTTAGAACATGTGTCCAATAAGATCACTACTGGTTCTTCAAGTACCGGTACCTTCTCATCATTCTTACCACAGCAGTGATACTTCTTCCTTCAGGTTTAGCTAAAGGATATTTGTTTTAGAATTCTACTGTGAATATTTAGCTCTGTGGCTCAGAAAAAGCCTGATTTTCAAGAATTTCTCTACCATGCATTGATGCCAATTCACAGGATAAAAGGGGCCCACATTCAGCTTTATAAGTGAAAAATTTCTAGAATCTGTTCCACAACAATATGAATATATTTGACACTATTGAACTGTACACTCAAAATGGTTAAGATGGTAAGTTGTTTGTTATGTGTTGTTTTACCACAATAAAAAAATACAAGTATTTTAATTTAAAAAGAAGGAGGAAGGCTCAAGGTCCTTGAAAAGAATTTGTCTTTTCAATTAAATACATTGTTTTTATTGAAAAGCCTGTTGCAGGAAAAATTAGCTGATACATTTACTAAACACAAATTCATTTCTGCAAACACATATCTTTAAAAAATTACTATGTGGCTACAGTTGGAAATCTAATTTATTGGCTTATTAGACATCCACAATGTGATAGACTATATGCCAAGAGAATTTCTACATCCAACTCAGATGGCAATTTTAATATTTTAGTCTTTTGTTTCCTAAAACCAAAAACCTAAAATAGAGGTTCATAGAATACTAGAATTATTATTGCCTTAACTCATTCCTTTATCCTATTCTTGGTGTTACAAAGTTCATAGTTGCAATTTTCCACAAGATGCTACAGAGAAGCTCTGAACTCTACCCAAAAACTCTTAAAGAATGAGACGAATACTCCATGTTGTTCATGCTGTTTCATAAAGAGATTTGTCCAGGCTGGCCCCAAACAAGAAAATTTTACACCACCTAGTTTAGGAATGTGTAAATGACTCAATGAACTGAAGGATCAGCATTCCTAGATTCCTTCATTTTGGCAAGAATCTAATGCTTTAAAGAAAATAAAACCACTTTACCTGTGCAAATCCTTTTAGGAAATTAATACTTCACTTATTGACTAGGTCCTAAGTAAGGTCATAAATAATAATATATTCAGTTATTAGATTTAGTAGTTATAGACTGGAACAGCCTCACTAACTTCACTTATCACTTAAAATCTTTTTTTTTCCTTACCAAATGTCACCTCTCCATTTCCACTCTTGTCAAACAATTGGAAAGCCACTATGAACATGGAATCTGGAGCACATAAAACAGATTCAAATGCCAAAAACTCTTGATAGGAGATCAACCTGGAATAAAATGTAAAATGTGACTAGCTGAAAAAGAAAGGGAAACATCATTTAACTTGCCTTTACATATGAGCTGTAGTTCAGGATAACCAATTAATTGAGGTGACATTTTTCTTTGTAAAGGTATTCCAGATAATAAAGAAAGAAGGAACAAGAGAATTAAGAGTATTACCCTTAAGTGAACCCCTAAGAGATTAATGAGCCTGAGCAATAATCAAATAAGCCCTAATATCACAAGAGAACTAGACTGAGAGTAATTAAACCTGAATCTGATCAGGTCTCTAGATTAGAGTTTCTCAATCTTGGGACTACTGAATATAAAGACTGTTCATTCTTTTTGGTGGGAGCCTCCTGCACATTGTATCATGTTTAGCATCATTCCTGTCCTCTACCCATGAGATGCCAATAGTATCCACCATATTGAAAACCACTGTTCTAATCTAATCATCAATTTACAGAAAATGCAAAGGACAAAGGAAAATGTAGGGAACTACAAAGAAAACATACTATAGTTACCAAAAAATAATTTTTAAAGACCTAAATGACATAGCAATTAATTACAATATACAGATCTTATTTGGATTCCAATTCAAAGTAAAACAAAAAAATTTTAACTTATTAGAAAATCAGGAAATGTAAATACTGATATAAACATACATACTTGATGGTCTTAATAAATTTCTGTTTATGTATTATTTTTAATCATTATACAGATATTAGGGCAGTAAAAACAGTTATAATATACTGGGTATCACAATGATCATCCCTAAAAAGCAACAAGTAGTACATAGTTTTAATCTGTGAACTAAACTAAATAGTATGTTATGATCTGAAAGTATGAGAATGAGTAACATAGAGTACTAAATGAGGGAAGGAGTTACAAAAGATCTTTATTTCTACACTACATATTTCTGACATACTTGAAATTCTTTTTTTTTTTTTTTTAATATTAAATTTTATTTTTTATTCCCCCATACAATTGCAAACGCCCCATTCTGACCCCAATCCTTCCCCTCCCCGCCCCCCCCCCCAAAAAGTGTCTCTGGTTCATAGTTTTTTGTTGATTTTGATTTTCACTTTCTTATATTCATTTTCCTGGTCCCTTATTTAAGTTTTCTAGATTCCTGCTATGAGTGAGACCATCCGGTATTTTTCTTTTTCTTTTTGGCTTATTTCGCTGAGCATGATCCCTTCCAGTGCCATCCATGTTGCTGCAAATTGCATGTGTTTATCTTTTTTGAATGCTGAGTAATATTCCATGGTATATATGTACCACATCTTCTTGATCCAGTCATCTATTTTTCATACTTGAAATTCTTATAAAATGAATTATTTCTTGAATATAAGAATGACTTAAGAATAAAAATAGAAAGTTGCTGGGCTAATTATGAGTTTTAAAATACCCACAACATCCTGTTTTTTTCCAAATCAAATCCTAGGAATTAGACAGCAAAAATACAATTGCCCTGAAATATAGAATGTGTAGCTTTAAAACACATTTCAAGCCCTGTAGTAAAACTTCTTGTAGTTATTTGAAGTCAAAACTTTTTCCTTAACTAGCAAAGGTCATAAACTGTCCACTGGCAGACTGAATTTGGCCCACAGATGTGTTCTCTTTGGCATACGAAGTATTTACTTCTTAACCTCATTCTCTGCCAACATTAGGAAATCATAAGACTTCAACTAAATATCCAGTTTCTGGCTTCTCTTGATAAACTGTGAACCAGGGAAAAACTAGGTTTCTGTTTTCAAGAAGCATCAGCACCCAAAGATCACAAACTGGAGTAAAGAAACCACTGCTTAGTACACACTTTAAGAGTTTGTTTTCTTTTAATGAGGATGAAGGGGCACTTTCACTTTTGAACCATACCTGCTCTCTGACATTTTATGAAGAATACATATCCACTTATAATATTTTGATGTATTGTATAAATATGACTTTTTTTTTAAATCTTGTACTTAGTTCCTTTCCATTCATTGAATGGAAACTAACCGCAAAACATTAATACCTAAATTTTACAATTTTTAAAACTGCCAATACTTCTGCATAAGAGCTCTCTATATGCATGGAGAATATTAAAGGAAAACACTTGTGAAAAAGCTAAAGATAGGAAAACTATAGTTCTCCACATTGTAGGAGAACAGAGCCTCTAGATGAAATTTTGACTAGAGTAAATATAATAGTCAAAATAAAACTAGTAATATAGAACTCCAGTACTAGAAGTTAGTTTCAAACAAGCAACTGTCTAAATATTTGAGATCAGATCACACAATAATAGTTCCTAAGATCTGTATTCACTGCATAAAATCATTTCACTTTCCCTTATACAACCAGAACTTCAAAGTTTAAGCCACAATCTCACAAATACTTGGTGAATAGATGTTTTTTACTCTTAGACAACCCATCATGCTATTTATATCATACA